GAAAGGTGTTACTGAGGAACACATAATGTCTGAAATGCACAACCGTGATCACCTGGAGGGTGGAGCTGTTTTTATTTCATTCCAAAAGCTCAAGAAGTTTTGGAACGAAATAAAAGAAAAGACAAAAGTATTATCAGACAGACTTATGCTGGCTCTAAGATAAACTAAACTTCATTTGGGTTACTGTATTTGCTAAAAATATGATGACTAAAAATAAATGATGTTACAGGAAAATGTTAAAATCAGTTAGCAAATTATTTAGCTTTTCTCAATTTAGCTGCTGATAGGTTGATAAATCAGTCAGGTTAAACAGGACAGCACAGAACTCACATTTGTGATTAAACCAATGGCTCTTATTCATCAACATGGCATATAAAAAGAATGCAGATTTAACTGCCTTTAATGATGTACAAACCACTCTGTGTTCATGAAACTTTTGTACGACATGGAACCAAGCAGACATATGTGCAAATACTGAATCAGCTTAAGTGCGTGAAATCAAGTGTCTACCAGCATCTCAATTACATAGCATTTACATGAAAAACTCCCTGTTTCAAGCAGTTGTTTTTGGTTAGGGAGTCAGCAAAGCAACTTGAGCCAATGGCTGTGCTCATAGGCGGAGTTTGGGGTCAGGCAGTGAGTGCACTGCATCCCCTACTGACCAAAATCTATAGTTTTAAAATTACGACAACTGAAAACCACATGAATGAACAAGAAAAGAAAACAGAGGATGGTCTAGTGAGTGTTTAGAAATGATGAACTTGCAGTGCGTCTAGGACTGGAAGAGCAAGACATCAAGTAGGCTATTACTGTAACGGCTAATTATTCACTATTTTCAAAGGCTTAACTCACAAACAACAGATTTAAAAGTCAAATATATAGTTACCCAAGGCAGGTAGATAAAAGACAGATATACAGATATAGAAGAAAGAATGTGACAATTTGACAAAAAATGACACTTGAAAAAATATACGAAGATAATGGAAAACACTATAAATATGTAAATGAATCATTGCAGATTAATTTATAGCAGAACAATATGGTGCAACAAGAAATATGAGTGGCTAATTTATCTGTCTAGCAGAGTGAATTAATGTGTTGTGTGCAACTTTGAGTTGCTGTGTGTAACTGTTAAGTTGCCTGGAAATTATGCTGCAGGCAACTCACAACATGCAACCAGCAGCATAAAAGTGTCACCATGTAAAGCCAGCCTGACGTTCTTTTTTTCCTTTCAGTACCTGATTCTGCCTTTTCTGCTGACATCAGCCTGACAGCCGTACCTGCCATCCGGTCAGTGCTAATTCAGTTTTCTAATTCAAATCATCATCATCATCTATCATGTCAACATTAGTGCATTACATCAATACAATTAGTGCCAAAAGTTAGGTAAATTGAAAAAGAAACAGTGTTAATATTCACTTAGAAATCAAGTAAATCCAATGCAGCGTTTTTTTCCAGCACACTATGCCATATAATAAGCTAATTTAAAACTTCAGTATAAACGTATGAATATCTACACTAGGGGTGTAATGACTCTCAAGACCCACGGTTCGGTTCAGATCTTGACTTTTGAGCCACAGTTCAGTTTATGTCTTTATGTTGTTTTTTTTTGTTTTTTAGGGGAGGGGTGAATAAGAAAAACCAGGGAACAAATTTCTGGGTTTTTATAATCACCAACATTTTGAAACACTAAAGAGAAAAACATTAAACAACAAGGTATACAGCTTGCCATAACCTTTGTTATAGTGTTAATTACGTAATTAGTACATTAGAGAGCTCAACAGGCTGCAGCAGCAGTGGTGGCAGTGGCTCGGGGTTGGGGGGAGGGCGGTATCGCGGCTCCGTATTCCGGAAATGCGACACAAGACATGGACGTCTGTATTGGTTTCAGAATCGTTACACTCCTAATCTGCACAGTGTCATGTGACTCTAATGGTGCAATAAATGTAAAAACCACAGTTTGTGCAACACGGGAAGTCTTCAGAGAGACACACACACACAGGATATCAGACGAGACCGAGCCAATTCATATTTCAGTCGTTTTAGATGAATAATTTGCTTTGATTTTACATTATTACCTAATAGCCTGTATTTGCAAACCAAATGCAGAATATAGTAGAATCATTACAGGGTTTACTGAAACCTGGGTTTACACATGCAGAGAGAGAGAGAGAGAGTTAGGCTACTTTTTACTAATTTGCAGACACAACCGCACTGTGAAAACACCTTAAAGCACTACGTCATTGAGCGCCCAGCACTTACTTTCTATGTTACAGAGGAAATATATTATAAACTGACTGGACCTTCTGCAAACGCTGGTGACGAATGCTAAGGAAGAATTGAAAAGGTGTTTTTCAAGGTGTATGTGGTGTGAACACAGTAATTTACATGAACTTAGCACTATCAAGTCAGTATCAAGATTGCAAATGCAAATAATGATCTGAGAAGGTGTTTTGTAGTTTGGCACTAGTTTGAATGCATTAGTAGTTGATATTTTATATATATATATATATATATATATATATATATACACATACATACATACATATATCATCTAAACCGCTTATCCTTCTGGGTCGCGGTGGGGTGCTGGAGCCTATCCCAGCTGTCATTGGGTGGAAGGCAGGATACACCCTGGACAAGTCGCCAGTCCATCACAGGGCAATATATATATATATATTTATATATATATATATATATATATATATATATATATATATATATATATATATATATTTCAGCTTTCCTTGCTTGTTTTTTAATAAAATGAATTAAAATACTATATGAACATTTGTTAAAGTTTCAAAATGTACGGTTCACTTCCAAGTGCATATATGGAAACTATGCTGGAAAAACAGCCTGTTTTGAATTCACTGTTTTTGTGACGTCACAAAAACCAAAACATCTACCTATTCATATCCATCTATTCCAACTACTGCAGGTTGGCTCCGCCCATTTACACTGACGTAATAAGGAGTGTTTAAGCTCGGACTGCTTTTTGAATCAGGCACATCACAGGGCAGCCAATCAGAACAGAGCTCATTTACATATATCAGTCTTAAAGGCACAGTAACAAGCAGCCTGTTTGGATGTATATAGGTGCATAAACCCACACAAACATCATAAGTGAACCTATCAAACTATAGTAGGATGGGCCCTTTAAATGCTACAATACATGTGTTTTGTATGGTGTAGGTTTCATGTGAAAATGGCACACAAGAGAAAAACAGCAACTCACAAACTGCGCAGGAGTTTAAGTAGTTCAACACTAGATTGGTATCAAGCGTGCAAATGCTAACAGTGGGCTGAAAAGGTGTTTTTAAAGGTGTAGGCTTACAATACAAATACAGCATGTTATACAAGCTTGTGAAATGTTGAGGAGCTTCTACGAGTTTCATATTAATTTGATATTAAATGCTAGTAATAAAAGGTATTTATGAATATGTACGGTTCACATATGTTCACCACGAGAAATACAGCACATTACACGAAAGTTTATAACATATCCAGGAGTTCTTATTAGTGTGACACTTGAAACTAAGTGTGCAAATGCTAACAGTGGCCTAAAAAGGTGATTCATAAAGTGTGGGTTTTTATGTGTGTGCACCAAATGAAAGGCAACGCTTACAGAGGAGAAACTCCGCCAATTTTTCATAAATTCCACATAATTAAATGTTTAAGAAGAATTGTTCACAGTGGTGGTGACAGGAACCAGACGTCTGAAGAGTTTAACCCCTTAAATGGCCAAGGTGCACCAACAGGCCCAAAGCTTTATTACACACCTCTATACCATAAGAACAGCTCAGCCAAGTTGCACTGAAGTCTGGTTCCACTGACTTACATTAAAAGTAAAGTATGTTTTTTCCTTCTCCTGTAAAGTTACCATTTTGGTGATATGAGGTTTTGTTCCAACAGCAGTGATATATAGGTTCACTGGTGGTTTTGTATAGTAATAAAATGGATATATTTGTGTTGTAGACATCTGGACCCCTGGTTCCTATCACCACCACTGAAAAGACATCTGAGTCAGTGTATTTCTCTACAATTAACCATTTAACATCAGACCACTCTAATGACTTTGTTTACACCGCAAACAACGTTATTCTGCAAAAATATTTGAAAAATTAAAAAGTGTTCAGGAGTTTTCACTGCTTTGTCACCAGACTGACATGAAATGCTATTAAGGTGTTTTGAAGGTTTATGGTTCACACGTGTTCAACATGAGAAATACAGCACTTTGCTTGAGAACCTATAACGTCTTCAGAAGTTCTTTTCAGTTTGGCACTTGATTTCAAGGGTGCAAATGTTAATAATGGTCTGAGAACGTGATTTTAAGGCGTAGTTTTCACATGTGCACACCAAGAGGAACCCAACATCACCTTATAACGTGTTTCAGGGTCCTTTTGTTAGTTTGGAACAGGTAAACACTATTCCTATGTATGGTGCACAGGAGACAACGGTGCACACCAAGAGAAATACAGCACATTGTGTTCGCTTATAACGTGTTTTAATGAGCTTTCAGCAGTGTACCACTGCTTTGACATGGAAAAAGCTCGTTAATATTGGTCTTCTGTGTTTTACATGAAAAAACGGTATACACTAAGAGGAATACAGCCCCTTACATGAGTGCTTAAATGTTTTAAGAGCTTTTAGAGCCAGGCGTTATGAACGCTGCATTCACACATGAAGCTAAAAACACTGAAACGACACTTCAGTCACAAAAGTCACGGCAAGTACAGAAATGGCGACAGCGGTTTAGATCAGATGAGGCACAAGGAGAGACGAGGTTGAAGTCAGCTTCTTATTCGCCAGCTTCTTCTTCCAATTTTCCCGTTCCACCTTAAATGGCGCAGCAGTTCCATTCTGGTGCCCCATTCTGGCGCCTGGCGCCCAGCGTAACTGCTGTATCGTTTAAGGTGGAACGGGAAAATTCGAATACGTAGCTGACTTCAGCCTCGCCAGGGAGAGCATAGGTTGAGAGAAAAAGTTGTTTCTCTTACTCTGTCCGTCGAATTTGCGGATGATGGTGTCCAGATAGGTGTTCTGGAGGGCGACGTGTCCACGACGGACCGGCATTTTCAACTCTTTAAAAATTATCTGGATTTTTCCTGCTGTTTTTTTTTCTGTTTTCTGTTCCTTCTTCACGGCGAGGCGATGTAGGAGGACGGTGAGCCGCAACAGGAGCACATGGCTGCAGAGCAAGTGTTCATTAGGCGAGGGAAAAAAGAAAAGAAGGAGGAACGAAAGGCAGAAATAGAAAAACAAAGGGAGAAAGACAGAAAGGAAAAAGGAAATACAAAAATCGTACACAGTGATCGAGGCGGTAACGGTTGCCAAGGCTACGCGCGCGAACGTAGCCAGCGGCTAGCAGGACTTAAAAAGAAAATAATAATTAGATATGAAAATAACTTTTCCAACGATTTCATAACAAGAAACGTGTCAGTGTTACAATAAAATCTGAGCACATTTTAGGAAAAAAATATATACATATAAATACTGTTTTTACTGTCGCGCGCGCTGAAGAGAAGCGCCGTTTCCCCGGATCTCTCCGGAAAGCCGTTGAGGAGAGAGCGACACGAAAACGGAGAGATATGAGGAGGAAATGTGTCACATTTAAGAAAAGAGAAGCAGCCGGAGTGTTGGCTCCCTGAGAGCGAACAGCCTCGACTCCCTGTCACAGACCCACATTTAATCTCTCAGTGACTCCGTTTAGTGAAGGGAGGGAGTCAACTCGACACAGCTGTCACCTCTGACAGAGGCCAGATGCGCTCTGTTCACCTTAGCATCTCTCTCTCTCTCTCTTCTTAATTTCTTTCTCTCTCTCTCTCTCTCTCTCTCACTCACTCTTTCTCTATCTCTCTTCCTGTCATTTTTGTCTCTCTCTCTTTCTTTCTACCCCTCTCTTTATCTCTCTCTCTTTCTGTCTCTCTTTCTCTCTCTTTACCCGTCTCCTTTCCTTTCTTTTTTGTCTCTATCTTTCTCACTTTTTCTCCCACTGTCTTCCTCTTTCTCTTACTTCCTCCCCTCTCTCTCTCTTCTTAATTTCTTTCTCTCTCTCTCTCTCTCTCTCTCTCTCTCTCTCTCTCTCTCTCTCCTTTTTTCCATCTCTTCCTCTCTCTCCCCTTTCTCTCTCTTTTTGTCTCTATCTCTCTTTCTTTCTCCCATTCTCTTTCTTTCTCTTCCTCCCCCCTTTCTTTCTCTTCCCAATTTCTCTCTCTCTATCTCTCTCTTCTGTCTCTCTCTCTCTTTTTCCCTCTTCCTCTCACTCTTTCTCTCTCTCCCCCTCTTTCTCTCTCTCTCTTTTTGTCTCTATCTCCCTCACTTTCTTTCACTCTCCCTCTCCCTTCCTCCCTCTCCCTCTCTCTCGCTCTCTCTCTCAGCAAAATTATTTGCTGAATTTAACATAGTGCAAAAGTTATGGCACATTTTATATGTTATGTTGTATTTTTCCTATATTATAAGCTCAGTAAAAAAACAGAAATTGTGCACTAAAAATGTGCCGTATTTAGGTATTTTCAGTTCAACTAAGTAATTCAGTAATTAGCACAAGTATATGATTCTGGCCATCAGTACTAATGTGTTCAGGCGCTTGGAGGCCTGGAATTTCAGTGGACGACAATCCACACTTGGCTTTTTAATTAACAGAATTCAGCTCAAAAAACACCCAAACCGAAGTTACAGTTACAAGCTTTTAGAGTTTAATTACACCATGACACTGTTTATGGTCTAATCTATACCCCCTGTGTAATCTGTACATTCGTTTAGCTTGTTTATATCAGATAGATAATGGTCACCTGCCAAATTTATCACGTAGTTAAATGAAATGAAAATGATGTCATCAAAGGGCATTCACATACATTTGCTAATGTGCATGTAGTCAGCCAGTCATGTAGTGGGTGGTTTACCACCAGGCTACATGTCTCTCTCTCTCTCCCTCTCTCTCTCTATATATATATATATATATATATATATATATATATATATATATATATACACATACATACACCAAGCTGTAGCATGTAGTAGCTTTATCTGACGGTGTTTCTCTTAAACTTTCTTGGGGTCAGATGGGCGACAGAAGACTGTGAAGGCTACTCCAGTAGCAAATGATCAATGATTGTCTGAAGATTAATAGACCAATTAGGATTAAAACCTGATATTGTTGCTCTCTAATGGGAACTGGCTTCATGGTTATTTTTAGAGGCCATCAGTTCCGTGTAGGACACCTTTAGATCCCATTAATAAACATCAAATGCATCTCGAATCAATCTCAAAATGCCTGTTAAACCATTAGAGTCCTTTACACGGTGATTTCAATCCACCAGGAAAACACTACATACTGTTAGTGACTATTGGACACCAGTGATTTCTATGACTGTTTTCAGCAGGGTTGAATGACGTAGTGGGCTAGAAATGCATCCCACCTGGACCGCAGCCTAGCTTTTCAAACACAGCTATTAAAATGTCAAAATCAGAGCCCAAAACTTGCTACAGTCAAAGGGCAAAACCCTATTTCACTGTCCAGTAAACAAAAAGGCATTTCACATAGTCTATCCCTGACCAATCTATTAGGCTCCTGTTTTCGTAGGTGAGTTTAAACAAGCTAGCTAGCTAGGAGCCTAAATCAAGTTAGCCTAACACCTTTAAATAGATCTCGTCATTCTCTGGTCAGTGTCTTTCCCATATTATGAACTCTGGATCTAAGCTGGATTTCTCTATGACAAAAATGAACAGAATATTTTTTTTTAATGGCCACTGTCGCGTCCTGTGGTGAACAAAAATACTTCAAAGCTAATACGTTTCGCCCTGTGTACACTTTTCCACTGGATCACCTAATTTACTACAATTTAGCAGTCAAAATACTGTAGCGTCGGCATAGAGTAAGAGACAGCAGAGGCCATGATTCCCACCGCAAGCAGTTTTAATTAAACTCCAGGCAGAAAAGCACATGCAAAGCACTGAACACGTGGTCACCACTAGCCACAGGCCTCACCCTCATGGTGACCAACCCCCCACACCCACAGACACAATAAACCACAAGTAACACACAACACACCTTTACACCAACAAAATAGTGGCATTTAAACAATATTAAAGTACCATTTTAGGACAGCAGCTCCTACCATGAGCCTCCACGCACGGCTGTTTGCGAGGCCACACCACCCACGCTTCTTGGAGGCAGCGCAAGCCAGTAGCAAGTGAATACAATAGGAATAATGCTGCATACATGCTACAAGCAAGCTAACAGTACTGCGCACTGAAGCTATTGAAATTATGTCACATGACAGTAACTCTATTATTAAACACCAGCGACTCAGTCTGTGCTCTAAAACTGCCAAAGCAAATTAACTACCACATTTGACAAAGCCTGCTGGTTTGGGGTATTTTGATGGAACTGCCAGACTTATGATGTCAGTTTACTGCGCAGAAATGCTAGCTAGCATGTAGCAATAGCTAACCAGCAACATTCGGTGGAAAATAGTTCATATGGCAAAACATACTGGGTTTGGAACATGTTAGTTTACCACACGGTGCAGTGGTTTTCAAAAATGCCATTGATTTTTGTCACTGAGAAATTCAGCTAACGTGAGCATGATGGCGACTACAGAATGAAGTCACAGCTTCAGAGGTCTTTTAGATACTTGCTAGCTAGCCACTAACTTTGTAATTTGAACTGCAACATGCTTAATGGTGCCTGAACATGCCTGAAGAGTCTGCTTCAGTGTTTTTACCAGCTTCCTGCTATGCCAGGAGTCCTCAACCCAAATGTTAAGAAGAGCCATTTTGTCCTTTCAACAAAAATCAAACCACCTCGGGAGCCACAACATTGCATGTTCATTTTACCATCTTGGCTGTAAATATGTCTCAGTATGTGCTGATGTACTAGTATAGATTAAAACATATAATATAAACAAAAACACAGATTTACTTTGCTCTGTTTTAAGCTTTAGCTCAGCTGTAGTCGCTTTTCTCACATCTCCGGCAGGAAACTTTTCTGCAAAAGTAGAACAGTTTCTTGTAAAATGTCTCTCAGTGTTTGAGTTTTTTCGAGACTGAAGTCAGCTGCTCATTCTCCAGCTTCTTGTTCAAATTTTCCCGTTCCACCTTAAATGGCGCCTGGGGCACCAGAATGTAACTGCTGTACCATTTAAGGTGGAACGGGAAAATTCAAACAAGAAGCTGGCCAACGAGAAGCAGATTAAACGTATCAGGAAACCAGCTGGGGTGATTATACATGCAAATCAGTCCACTCGTCTCCAAATTATCAGTGTTCGTCTTAAATCTTTCTCTTTGCCATTTTGTTAGCTGCTAACTAGGCAAGATTGTCATTGCTATGGTGACCAGCAGTCTGCGCGCTGACCTTCAGGGTTAAAGGGTGAATTAGCAGTTATACATTATAGAACTCCAGAGTTAAAGACCATTTATTGTCAAAACTGTGTTTGAATGATCAGCAGAGCTTTATTTTACTGTAAAGGAGGATTATTTTATTATTAGCTAAACATCTAATTCTGCTGTGGAGCCGCAACAGGGCAGTAAAAGAGCCACATGGGGCTCCAGAGCCGCATGTTGCCAACCCCAGTGCTATGCAATTAAAATGAAGCATATACTTTGTTGTCACATTGATAACTGGTCAGTGTGCCGATGTGTAGGCCCCTATATAACCAGCTTCAATCATTTTAAACCCAAAGAGAGGAATTTACCAGACAATCTCAGACATGCCCTAAGACTCGACAGGGCCTGGATCTCACCATGCTTACTATATTCCTGATGTCTGTGCAGAAATGAGAGTGAATCTTGAACGTGCAACATGGAAGGAGGTCAAATAAATCCCACCTTGACATGTGTGTTTAGTTTACATCACTAATTGTGGTTTTGCCTCTCCAGACAATACTAAAGCTTAGAAGTCTAGACTTGGCTCCTTTCGGAAAGGAAGAGGCTGATCAATGAGAGAACACAACAGCATAAGCCGGTACGGATCACTCCTAAAGTTTAATAACGTCCAAGAAGCTCTAAAATCAACACGGCAATAAAATGAGATTAACACCCCTCTTTCTGTGAAGCCAACAAATTGTTTGCCAGATAAAGCAGCAGGACACAGCTGGAGTGGTGTGTCTCGTCTCGTTTTTCGTGGAAAGCCAAGCAGAGTCAAGATAATATTCCTAAATAAGATCAGTGGCAATATATAAAAAATATTTTTCAGGTTTGCGAAATGTATAACATTGTTTATGAGCCATAGATTTCAAGCTTTCATTTTCTAGTTTAGAAAACGTGTCTTCTGCAGGGGTCTCTGAGGGGGTTACTTTCATTCTCTTCCACATGTATGCACACACACAGGGCACATGAGGATGGAAGCAGGTGTGGTTTTTTAAGAGGTAGCACAGAGACCCCCGGTCACCGACTCGAATCTAAGGAGCATGCTTGTCTAATGTGTGTATGAATATGATTGTGTAGTGCAGAGCTGCCCAAAGTCTGGTCCATTCTGCTGTTTTACACTGAGAAACGTTATTCTTGTATTGTTGCACTATTTGCCCGTGCAGTCTTTCACAGAGTGGTGAACCCCTCCTCATCTTTACTTCTGAAAGCCTCTTTGAGATGCTTTTTTATACCCAATCATATTACTGACCTGTTGTCAATCAACCACTAGGTGTTTTTTTAGCATTACACAACTTTACCAGCCTTTTGTTGCCCCCATCCCAACTTTTTTTGGACGTGTTGTTGGCATTAAATTCAAAATGGGCATATATTTTTCAAAAAACAATAAAATTTCTTTTATTTTGTTTTTATTTTCAGTAAAAGTAACGATATTAACTATATATGTATATATATATATATATATATATATATATATATATATGA